TATCGAACATCAACGCATATCACAGTGTCACATGATACCTGCAATATGTTGGACCTTATTGACATATTTGGTGATTATCGCTTTGTTGTTCCATGCTCTCTGTTCGCGTTCTACTCTCTCTAGTTGTAGATTGATATCACTAATTCGTTCTGGCTAAGGAAATAAACTTAAATACACCGTTCATGATATCTAGCGCCTCAAAATTCTAGTCACTTTTTTTTCACAAACTTCTAACACTTCTAAGGGCCATCTTTCACGGGTCAAAACTTCCGAACCCAAAATTATTGTTTCATATTTCTGGAAGTTGCAATGTTCGACTTACCATTTTTGACGTGTTTGTATAGATGATAAATATTCTTTTAGTTACCTTTTTGAAAACACATCAGCTTGATAATTAACCTGTTTCCAACGTTTGTCACATTTATTTCTGATATTACGTTCCTTGACCATTCTGTCACATTTTCCGAATAACAGCAAAATATTTGAGGACAAACCTGGTTTATCGTTAGCGTCCGTGATAACTGGGGTTAAAAACTGATTGCTTAAAGTTTTCGTTAGTAACATATTGTACTTTAGTGGTCAATAATAAAAGCAGATGTGTTGATTTAATCAACGTTTCCCATACTCCACCTATGTGGCTGAATAAGAGGAAGTTGAAATTCCATTGGATCTGTCGAGTTGATAGTTAATTACTCATCCTTTTCTGGTTTCACTGTTGTACAAATTTACGAAGTTCGGAAACTACTCACGAAATTCGGTCAATTGTCACTGCATACATCAATGGGCTTCCTGATTTTTCCCATTAAACACAACGATGACATTTTAAGTGGATCAGTGTTTAGATTATACGTCACTTCAATACATAGTACTCGTGGTTGTAAACAAGTAAATATACACCTATATCTTATTTCCAGTGACCTTCCTATCTTGGCAACAAAAGGTCCAAATTAGTCTACCTCCACGGCTGAGAAGCTATATCATCCTTGTTGCATTCTACAAGCGGAAAGCGGCACCAGATCAGATTACAACAGCATTTCTCCGGGAGCAAATGTTTCTGTTGAGGTAACGTCTGATAGGTTTCACTTATTTCGAGGATCAATGAGTTGTATATTCTTATTTTCACAGCTTCTTGAATAGTTTTCCTTGTCTCCTACATTGCTCGTACATTCCATGTACCTACGTTAATCGTTGATCTGATGAAAAGGTTAGTCGGCTCAGAATTTCCACCGAATTTCGGCTTTAACTAAAAGGTCTCATGATTCTTCTAAAGGAAGAACCTTCAACTCCCAGAGTATTGTTTAGTTGGTTCAAATGAACTTTGGGTTTGGTGTTTATTTAGACATAGTTACCGTCCACTGGATATGATTGCTAATTCTATGCCTGACATTTCTCCTTTATCTGGGCCTAGGATCAGCAGTAACAGCAGAAGTGCTACAAGAAGAGCTTTTTCTCGCCGCCAGTTATGAAAAACTTTGTTATGCAGATCTTATTAATATGGATGTTTTCAATGGTTGGATATGTTATCGTTATTCACGATTTCAAAACATTCTTTCCGGATTCAGAAACTATTATTAACATTATTTGGTTTATTCGACTATTTTATTATTAACATTGGTAATATAAAGTTCGTCGTTTATTTAAAAACTCGGGGTATCAGACTCCAAAATTTCAGTATGACCTACTGAATTTCCAGCATTAGAGATTACTGTACAATTCTAGTAGGAATGAGGTCTATATGGTATTAAAGACAGATAACTGTTCACACTTTGTTGCAGAAGCAATCGCTCTGTGGGTGAACGGTATGAGGTGCTCTCAGGTACTCTCGTCCTAATGGTGGTGAGGAAAATTTCATCAGGACGTTAATAAATGCAATTGCTTTCATTGCTGTTACAACATTTGATGAATCGGGACTAAAGTAGACAGATTTCTTCTGCAACATACAAATCCTAAACAGTCAGTGACGAAAGACGATCCGTAAGTCTTTTTTCTAAAACGACTCTCCATTTAAATATTAAATATGTAGCGTCTGCAGAAGTTACGTATTTTCATGGAAACAGTCTTCGACCAAAAACGGGGACTGAGCTGAAGAATGTCGGAAAGTCTACGGTTTGAATTCTAGATAGCAGTGATTTAAGCACATATAACAAAGTTGTTGATGAAGTAATATTCCAAGAACCAGGTAAGTCTGTCCCAATTTCGACCATTAATCCTAATACCAACGAATACGTTCTAAAGAAAGCAAACGTTATACCCAATAAGAAGTCGGACAGACTAGTAAAATTACGAATGCTTCGGTAATACTGCAGCACTCTTGGCTAGTCGTCATATATCTGCGAAGAATTCCCAGACTTTTCAGAGGTGATGCATAATTACTTTGACCATTAATCCATTCTGAACTCTTCTTAGCCTTCAGGCAACCGTGTAACTATACTACAGGACGTCCTATAGATCTGGGAATCCATACAAATATAACAATATGATCAGTGGGGTAAAACAAAAGTTATTCGTTCGTACCAATGTAGTCACAGCTGGTCGAAATCTCAAGCTGGGAACCTATTCACATTTCAATAGAATGCATCAACTTTAATCATGTAATAGAACTCAACAGTGCATGACTCTATTTGGAGTGTTTAACATATTGGTATCCATAACTACATTTAGGCATAGAATAAAGCGCAGTATGAGATAATCAAGTGACAAATTACGATTTCAAGGTCATGGCGCGTATTCCGGATTGGCGTGTTGATTGTCGTCCGCGGCTTTTTTGTGTGACTAGGATGTTATAACGGGCACGGACTGGCAGGTAAGCCACGGGTTTTCGCGCACACGTTACATGTTGTCGTGGAATTTTTGTGTCGTTATTTACCAGCTATTAACAGGCTTTTTTGCATGACACATCAATTTCTGTATTGCTAGTGCTTGTAACATAGTTTTTATTCCAATTTATTGGCAGTTTGACGTATTTCTTGCTCACCACGTAAGTAAATCTGAAGTTAGCTTAATATAGTTATTTGTAACAATACAAACTCAAGCAAGTAAAGTTAACCGTGTTTCTAGTCAAAAATACATAACAGATTGAGTTTTCATGAAAATGAACCGTAAAATCTTTTACATATGGTTCACCTCCTTGATTGCGGTGACGGTGAACATGGATGTCGGTAGTTGTTTATAAAATGTAAGTAGAAGCAATCAAGCGTTAAACTAATTGTGAATATTATATAACTTGTTTGTATTTAGCCATAAACAGTTATATCCATTAGAGGTACCATTGTTTTGTACTGAAGTGACATAATTATGTAACGTATTTGAGAAATATCATGTGAGTAACAATTGACGTTTATAGTGTTGTCCAGCGGCTTTCTGAACGTCTGCAGTAATAGTGTATAACACCACATCAAGTAGGAACAAAATCTTCATTAGTAAAACGATCGGTGTTTCTTTTGAGCATGGTGACACAACCAAGGTTTTTAGTTAATACTGATTTGTGACGTGTCTGTTATAGGGTTCACAAGTGAGTTATTATAAAGTCTTCACTCCGTCTCCGTAATACAGTTGTTGTGTTTTTTAGGAAGTTATGAATGAATGTCACTACTTGTAAATAAAAGACTTATAGGCACAGTCTGTTACTTGTTATTTGAATAACTTATTGAATATGATACTGAGAACAAAGTTTAATTGTTTGTCTCAAAACGGATTTGTTGTTTTTCAGAATAGTATGAAGCTTATGGAATTTAGGATTACGGAAGATCGTGTGGAAAACCGGTTACAAGTTTACGATAACTGTTTTATATTGCCTACTGCTATGTTCACTCATCTAATGAATTATTTAAATATAAATATAACAACCATACGCAGTGTTTTACATTATAAATCCTGTAAGTTTGTATAATTATGGTCTAAATAAAGCCAAAACAAATATTGAGGCAGAATCATGTGACTGCATTACATTTCATGGTTTCTCATAAGTTGCATACAACTGAATATGCATTATAATTTAAGATTGAGAGAAGAAATAGTATGAAAGATAATCGAAAGCAAAGAATTGGAATGACCTAGGTTATCAATAATAACTATACATATGTATATGCTTGAACAGGTCAAAGGTCATTTGGTGTTAGACTTAAGGGAACATAAAGGATGGGTGGTGTAATAGTCCAGTGAAGGTCAAAAGCATATAAGATAAATTGTGTGATAATTCTAGATGTAATGAATAAATTAGCGAATTAAGAACTAATAAGATAAGTGAAGACAATCTGAAGAGTTAACATAATTTAGCAAAGAAGTGAGTGGAAGGGTGGTATAAGGATTACGTAATCCATCTTATCAGGGAACTAGCTGCATGAAATTGTCTACTTCCATACTAATACTAACTTGATAATGGACGTAATCTGACAACGGAAAATATGTAAGGCGGTTGTTTAATCTGTAAGGTTTTACGTGGAAGTCGCATTGTTGTTTTATTTGACTCGTTGATTCATCACAATGAACAACGATATAACGCTAAATTCTAACGACAGTTCGTAACTAATACAGTAGTACAAATTCTTAATTTTCAAACACTATTATTCGTTAAAGCGATTGGTAAACCTCCCCATGAAAGTATGAAGAAGACGAAAATAAAAAGTGAGAAAAAGTTTATTGATTTTTCATGACTACTAAAGTTGAAAGATAAGTTTACAAGTTGTATAAATAGTGGTAAAAAATAAAGCCACAAAGAACTGTTAATCGTAAACCTGCTGTTTAGCTGTTTATAATTCTTAAGTAAAAATTATAGACTTTTCTCTCCACCTGATTCGCGAAGCGTTCACCATATTTCTCAACAATTTGTTGTTTGCACATTCTTTGGAGCCGTTGAAGTTGTATATATTCTTTACTCCGTCTCGGTAATGAAATTGCTGTGTTGTTTTGTAAGTTGTGCGTATTGTCTAATTTCCATCTGCAGCAACACCTAAGAAGTTGATGAGCTATGCAGTTTATATTTTATAATTTAAATAGCTTACCTGTTAGATTTCGTCTTTTAACATATGCCAGCAGGAGATGGCGGCACGGATATCGACACATATTAAACGTGCTACAATTACATTGACAAATACTTAAATCCACTTCGTAATGTTGTCCGCGGTCTGCCATAAACAACCACTCGCCGCTTTCATATTCACAGTTAACAAAACGCATTTTTTTAAGTTCATATAACACCTTGCATCTTGCAAACGGAGTTAACATGTTAAGTAAGGGTATAAGGCGTTGTGGAGCATCATAACTGTATGTTCTTCTACTGACTATTTCGTCTTCAATGCTTTTTCTAGAGAATGTCATTGAACTCCACTTAAAAGCCTTGTACATACATTTGTGCAAGCTGTCGCTTTTGCGTACATACCTTTTTATCTGTCTATTTAATGACTCAACACGATTATTCGTGTTGTTACCCAAAGTTAATACACTGCCGTAAAAGGCACGTGCCCACATTGCTTTACGTGGCATCCAGTAACGTGATAGGTACTGGCCTATCACTCTGTCTCTGCGGTTTATTATTCTATAATATTGATTAAATCTAGTGAATAAATACATTAAAAAATTACCTTCCGACCGTTTCTGCGGTTACCAGTCGTGTCAAGTAGGTTTTCAGTATTTTATCAGTTGTCTAAAAGAAATTTTACGTAACCAACCATTGGTGTACCTTTTTCCGGAAAGCGCGAATGACATGAAAGGCGCATAAAATAATGTTTGCATGCCCGTGCGTTATACGGACAGCTGCGCTTTCAGATCGTGCGCAATCCATCACAAAAGTTTCTGTTTTGGTAGTGTCACCCATTATTTCCTTGAATTTATCCAAAATCCACGTAACGTCGGCCCGCTTTTCTTTTTGTGTCCAAGCAAACATAACAGTCCGACCTCGACCGCAATTGTCTGTCACCACTAACTGAAATAATGAATATCTACATAGTAGAACAAAACGAAAATCATATTCACTTTTTATTATTAGTTTTATAAGTAGAATCAATACACACAACTTCGGGATATTGATTGTACAGCCGTATCTGATCATAACTGCTAAAGCATATCGCCGTAATACATCCATTTTCTGCATGCTCTCTAACTTCGCCATTTTGTCGCATGATCTGCAATACCTGTTTCCGAGTCCAACCTGAAATATATTTATATACACTTACCAGTGGAGAGTTCAGCTTTCAGATTTTTGACATCAGCAGCGGTCACCTGCTTACCTGTTCTTTCCTTAATACTTTCGATAACTTCGTCCGTCGACTGACAGTGCAATATAACCGGTTTCAAGTTTTCTTTTTCTTCTGCTGACAATCTTCTACTAAACGGATCACAAACCATCCACGAACTAGTACACGGATGGTTGTGAGACATGTTGTAAGATTTTATAACGTATTGTTGACCCTCCAATCTTACGCGAAACATCGATTGGCAATTTAAAAACTTAGACCTTAAACGTAACACATTAGTTAGAGTCCTTACGGTTTTTTATTCACATTCAGACCTTCTGATTTACGTTTACGACCAAACGTGCAACGAAACACTACGAACAAGTATTTATACCTCACATCCTTCAACAATCTACTTTCTGCGTGAACATAGTGTGTATGGGTAATCTGAGAAAACATAGATTTATCCTATCGTACTTTATGGAAATCCTTTAGCGCATTATCGAATTCAATCCAGCTTCCGAATCTCTTGTTCAGCATAATACGTTGGAACGCGTCGCTTACGTCCACTGAAATTTCACTTGAGCATGAAGCACTAGAGACAACACCCAAAATTTATTAAGAAAAAAGTTATTCCTTGAAAAAAATTAACTGAAGGAAGAACAACAAATATTTAGGACTTACCCTTCAGTTGACATTTCGTCTTAACTCACAAAAACTATGCGTATCTATAATCTTTTACGTTATTTTATCTTTCTTACGTTGTTTTCTGGACCTTATCAACAAATTATATATAGCTGTTGACTTTCACTACAGCACTTAGGACCACAGATCAAGTTTCGAAGGAACGACAGAGCTAAAGTGTGCACTACAAAACAGAAAATACTCAATTAATGCTCTTAGCAGTTATTTAGTGTTTATTATGCATCAAAAGATGACTTATATATGGAAACATTTAATACTCATACGACCCAACACACACACGGCAATTGAAATACGGAATGCCCGCTTCCAGTCAGCGCGTTCAAGGTCGTTGAAACGAAACGGCGGACAGATTTGAAAGGGATTACCGTTTTTACCGTGTCGTTATAACGTACTTATCAGAAAAGGGTCTATTCCAGTATCATTTTATATTACTACTGTAAGATAGTACATATAGGTTTAATTAGGAAATAGTGTTGGGACTTAAGGTCAAGAGTTAGTGTTGTGTCAAGGTAGGGGTTATAACCTCTTATAACCATTCATCCTTATCCCTATAGGGATAAGGATGAATGGTTAGTCACTTCGTTGCCTAACTCTGTTCGGAGATCAGTCTGTTCAAAAGCCTTGTTTGCTTTCAGTATGTGAGTGACATTTCTCTCTGGTGATGGCTCATCAATTGCGATTAATTAATCCCAATTGATAAGTCTTGAAATAGTTTAAACCATTTCGAAATTGGCAAGCCAAATAAGATTGCTTAATATTTCTCACTTCGCTTGTTTATCTCCTCTGGCTCGAAATGGGTAAAGCAGCCTGACAACTAGCATAGGAAGCAGTGAAGGTTGATGGTGGGATAAAACCACGGGAATACGTACAATTTATTAAGGCGTTTTGACTGTAGTCTGTATATTCCTTATGACTTCGCAGACATCAGCGTACACATAAGCCGTCATCGATCTCCTGCTGTCATATGATAATTAGTTACAACCTGTCAGTTGGACTAATATCTGATGACCAATTATGTTATTGTTCATCCATTTCGTCGGTTATTTTATAGTATTTCCACTTATAACTGGCCATTTACTTTGTCAGTATGCAATGTTTGTTGGATTTATCTGAATGAAAATTAGAGGGGGGCGACACTAAGACATGGCATTTCACTAATCTATTGAGTGATAGCCGTGTTGGTACGTGCAGACTAGCTCGTTAGGGTTCACTCGACTATTGTAACCGGTTATTGAAACCTAGGTGGCGTGCCTCAAAATTGACCTGGATGGTGCAGGTCTATTTCCCTTTCCCTTTATTACGTCCTAAGTCCTTAAACTATTTGAAACTTTCTTCATTACTCCACTAGTTGAAGTTTTCTTGAGCCACATCTTTGTCTGATATTTTTTAATTGTTGCTATTACTGTTACTATTTTATCGTTTTAGTATTTGTCTTGACAAATACTCTTTGCGCTTACATAGTGTGGCAACCTAAATCGGTGACGGCATACGCCAGCTTCAACACTGCTTATAACTGACGTACTTTATACTTGACTTTAAACATTCTACTGGTTAGAGTTTAAACCCGTAATCAAATTAGTTAAATTATTTATACTGTCATCTTGTATATGTTGGCAAGTTTATATCTATTAAAATTAAAGGGCAGTTGATACTTGAAGTTCACTTCGTTTTCTATTTTTAAAAGTGGTTGGTCATGTTTATTATGTTTGTTTATTTCCTGCCCGGTCTTTTTTTCGTTACGTTTTTTCGGTTCTACCTCTATTGGGTTGGATATGTTAACTTTTACTCATGCAGTTTTGTGTCAGACTCTACATTCCACCCGTTTTATCTTGATATAAATTGAAGTTGCCATAGCCACTAGTTATTTAGAAATTCAACATTAATTCGTTTTCACAGCCATATACTTAAACGAATTGATATTCTTTGTATTTCATAAGTTCTTTATCTTTCTACTTGTCAGTTCTAAAGGTTGCCGGTAAACGCAGGAGTACTCGGTGTTTTTTGTATCAAACTGCAGGGTTAATATTATCTATGGCTAGTAAAAAATGCATGCCCTTAATAACTAACTACAAATCAGATGATTCCTCGTTGGATGATGATGATGCTGATTGTGATGATATCTTTAATAGTCTCACAGAGAATAGTCCAAATAATGCTCTTGATGAAGATGACCAGCCATTGGTTAGTTTACAACATAATCATTTCCCCACTGATTTATTCTTTATTTGTATAGTTTTTTGTTGGACTATAATCAACATTTTTACTATCATTGCTTTTAACACTCACTAAAATCTCTGGGATTTTACATGAGCCTAAATATGTTTGGTGTTTAAATGCATATCTGAATTTAATCTTTGTGCTTACGTCAAAACTTTGGATATAAAGTTTATTTATTTATTTAAACACGTAAATATTGGTACAAGGGGGCTCCAGATACATATGCGCTACGCAATAATAATCAGAGTGGGAAGAGATAAAGGATGTCAGGTGCATGTAAAAAGAAAAAAAGAACAATAACGACCATAAATTAGTGTATGGTAGTCAAATAGTAATAATAATGGGGGAAACAGAAAGGTACTACCAGAAATAATTCTTTCAGTTAGGGAAGTTACGGGTCACGTTTTGTGAAGAAAGTAAAAGAAGGTTACAGCAGGATCACCACTGGCTATTATTCTGAGTCATATCTGATAACGTATCTAGCCACTGTGTACCACCATCTCTCAGACCCCAACCAGGTAGTCGTGAAGGACCGACAGAAGCCAGTCCTTTGCAGCTTTCTTTCATACCACGACACCATGTCATGCACTGACCACCTCTCCGCTTTTTCCAACCAGTCCCAGAGTCGGCAAATAATGCACGACGTGGAATTCTCTGGAACGACATTCGTAAAACATATCCAAGCCACCGAAGTCGGTGTTTCAAGATGGTGACACCAATTGAATTATCGTCTCTGCGTCCAAATACACGATGCTTAACCTCTGCATTACTAACATGGTGTTGCCACTGGATGCCAGCAATCCTTCGGAGACAACGATGATGTAAAGTCTATCTCTTAGAAATGGCTGGATTTAAAGATATACAATGAAGTTCATATAACTTGCTAAAATATGCTGCTCACCATCAACTAATTGTTTTGAATTAAGAAAAGTTTCTTTGAAGCTGACTGACTCGCCATGATCAGTTGTCGATGTTCACAAATCAAAAATTTAAACTAGACATATCTGTTTACTGGTGGTTTTCACTAATTCAAGCTTATCAAATCTATTGGTCTGGAAAGGTAATCCAGTCACTGCTTTTAAAAGAAAATAATTTGTGTTTTGACATTACAACTTGTTCTTCAGGTTTATATTGAATACTTGTAACTGTCAAGTTTCAAATTCGAAAACCACACAGTAGTAAGGTGTTTCTCTCACACAATCAGCATCTAAAGCATCGCTTTCATCCCACCAGTTTCAAGGGTATGACCGATTTTGGAAGGATAGTTACTTACTTATGCCTGTTACCCCCTATGGAGGAGCATAGGCTCTCACCAGCATTCTCCATCCAACTCTGTTCTTGTCAATTCTTTCCAGTTGTTTCCAGTTGCTATTCATCCTTTTGATGTCTGCTTTCGATTCTCGGCTCAATATGTTCTTGGTCTTTCCTCTGTTTCCATTCAGTACTCCATGTTTAGGCTTGCCTCGAGTTTTGGTTTGATGATTTCTTCGATATGTGTCTTATCCATCTCTATAATCTTTTCCTAATTTCCTCCTCAGCTGGAAGATGGTTTGTTCTCCCCTATAGTAGGATGTTGTAAATGGTACCTGGCCAACGGATAGTGAGTATCTTGTGTAGACAATCGTTTATAAATACTTGTAACTTTTGGATGACAGTTGTGTTAGTTCTCCAAGTTTTAGCTCTGTACAGCATGACTTGTCTCAGAATCGATCACGAGGGCTTAGGTGTATACACTTTCTGTCTTCATTTAAAATAAGAGATTAAAATCACTTCATATTTTTCTTTCTACGGACTAATTCTTTCTTCCTGTACTATATTCTTATATGCAATCTTTCTTTTATACATTACTATCATTGAAGTGACTACTATGAATTCGATGTCCATCTGGTTGTGTCAATAAGGTATGGCAACTTAGACCGATGCATATATGTGCCTTGTCCTACGTTGTAGCTGACTGACTGACTTGGTGACGTCCGTAATCTCCTCAATGGCAAATGCAAATTAATTATAATTCTTGGTAAAATAATAAAGTCACTCGAATCTCGTATTTTTTTTGTTTGGGTTTCCGGGAGAATAGCATTAGTTACTGAAATTCAGATGCATCTGGCTTCTTGTGTATATTTTGAATAAAATTGTGCCTATCTTGGGTTTTACCAACTTTCAGTGTGAACATACTTCTCCAAGCCCTCGTAATTGGCGTTGTTTGTTTTTATTTTTTAAAACTCAAATTCGTATTGAATAATTTATCTTACCTTTTGCTTATTATTTTAGTCTAATTTCCGTCCTCTTCACTCATCACAAAATGATTTTCTAAAACGTTTGACTGTTATGCAACCATCTACAAATGATTCCTCTATCGGTTCATTTAAACAACAACTCACGTCTACTGAAGACTCGATATTACCAAATATATCTGATTCAGAAGATTCTGATTCTTTTTCATCCAGCACTGATGAGGAGTTCAAGAAACTGGTGGATACTTCTTCTTCATTACCCGTAACTGAAGTAAGATATATACGGGGATTTTTATAAAGTTAAACAAATCACATCTTTTATTTTTACTCATAGTTACCCTCAATATCGATCAATCCCGTGATTTTTTTCCTTTTTTTGTTTGATTGTAATAACGCTTACATGTACTCCTATATGTAAGATATGCCGAATTCTTATTACAAGGCAATGGCCCCCGAATGCCCTGGTACGGCCGAGAGTGGGGAGAGTCCGCTCTCCCTCTCGAAATACTCTCACACGCCCACGCGTATATAGCCTCTGCCAGGGAAGTTCTACTCACTGCCTTCTCGTGGCGGGGGTGTTGTTTACGAAAATGAGAGTACGAAAAGCGAATGTCCGGCGCTTTAACCGGATTCCAAATCAATGGTGCACATGGGCTGGCTCCAGGATCCTGAGGGAACAAAGGACGTATGAACCAATTATTGGTCACCGGCTTCCATGGGACTGCATCTCCTTACGATGCTCCACTGCCTTGTGGATCAGGCCTTCAGGTCGAAGGCTCGGGGTGTGGCCCCCTAAGAAAACCACCTGCTTCGGTTTGGGCACCCGGGCAGTATCACAGCCCTCACACATATCGAATGAGATTTGTGTGGCGCTTATGTATTTGGTGCCTCTTTGTACCATTATCTATGTGTTGAAATAATAATAAAAACAAGACAATGATGACATACGTCTCTTTAAAATTTTCGTAGTGTTATATCCTAGATATGTATTTATGTGTTAGATGTTTCATATAAACACTGACTATCACATTTTTCCCTCAGCCCTATTTATGTGATATAAATCTTTGTGAATTGTCTAAAACCCACTAAAGGAACCAAATAACGGTACAGATATTACACATGATTATATTTACACTGTCCTTAGAAATACAATAACTAGTGAGCACACTGAAACAAGTTCAAAACAACCGGTTTGAATGAAATATATGATAGTAGGAGGTCAATAAAAACTCAATTTACTCAAAATAAGCTCCTAGAAAATTATATATATATATATATATATATATATATATATATATATATATATATATATATATATATATATATATATATATATATATATATAACGTTATTTTGGAGTGAGCACTCACCTCTCAAAGATGAAACATACTATTCAGTCTCGGTAGACGTTGAAAGTACACTTGTTGAGTTTGGATGAAACTTCATAAAACTAGAGAGTATTTCTTTCCTTCATCTAGATCAAATTCAGTAATTTGGAACGTACGATATGGAAAAAAACACATGGTATCAGTTCACCAGACGACATCAGCTCAACGAGATGAAGTTAAGATGAACAGTGAGGTATTAAGTGGAGTAGTACTAATGATAATAAAGGAGATTCAAAATAGACAATATGGCTCGACAAAGATTCGTAACACCGTCAATCGATCAACCTTATTCGCCTTGTATTCGACGTCTAACTTTAACGTTGGTTACTCAGTAGTTCCAACAAAACTGAGAAATGCTTCGAACTCGCCTATGATCAAATACTAGTAACCTACAAATATCTTCGGCCTTTAAAACCCACGTTTCACGGCGGTAAATTAGAATTGTACTGCTGCACAGTATACTCACCTCTTCGTTGGCCAACGGACACTTCCCCAACATCACAAGTGACACAAGTTGGCAAAAACCAAACAAGTTTTTTGAAGTGCGCGCCGATGTTTCCGTCACGTTTGACTGAAACTGGTATTTTTGTGATCTTTCACACTTCAGGATTGTTGTGACCACTGTAATATAGCAATGCCACGTAGATCATACCTTGTTTTACATTGTACGATACTATGTATAAATCGTTTCGTTTATTCAGCTAATTTTATTCTCTTCAAGTATTAAAACTTTCAATAATATTATCAACAACATCACCTCACTATATTATACTCTTTAAGTAACATCTCCAAACACTAATCTCTCCGATTACTGCTTATACTCTTACTACCTCTACCACTACGGGATTTGAATCGACCACGGCACCTCTGTGCTAATGTGGTGTGGCAACTCGGACTGATGTACGTACGTACGAAGTTCTACGTTGTTACTGACTGACTGACCTCTATCCGTAAATATCACATTTGATATTTGAATTCGTTACTGTTTACTTCTATTTAGTGCAAAACCATTTAGAAACGACCAACAAGTAAAGTTGACCAGATCCATTGCCTAAAAAAAATCATAAATTGGTTCGTTTTGCTTCTAAGTTTTTTTATTTATTTTGCAGCTCCTTCGGTCAAAACAATTTACACTTATGTATAGCGATAAAAACTATCAAAAAGGCAAATCAGATAGAATAATGTAAGTCTTTTATACGAGAATACGCTTTAATTTCCCTTGTTGAATAATCTTGGTATTTACTGAGTTGTGTAATTTTAGTGCATTTAATCTAGACCAAATACTTGTCTTTGTACTTAATTTTGGGCCAAACTGTTCAAGAGTCAGTAGTCCTATCCGATTGCTCAAACTGAAATAGGTTGGACGAAGTTCTGACTTTTTACCTAACAGTTAAAAGTTAGACATTTTTGATCATTAATTCATTTTCTATCATTTTTATTTAAACACATAAACATTGGTACAAGGAGGCACTTAATAGATATGCGCCACATAAATCATTTGATTTGTGTGGGTTCTGAGATACTGGCCGGGTGCCCAAATCAAAGCAGGTTGTTTTCTTAGGGAGCCGCACCTGGAGTCTTCGACTTAAAGATCTGATCCACAAGGCAGTGGAGCAACGTCAAGAGATGCAGTCCCATGGTAGCCAGTGACAAACGATTGGTTCATACGCCATTTGTTCCCTCAGGATACTGGAGTCCATGTACACCATTGGTTTGGAATCGGGGTTTTTCAACTCCCCTAGGTGGACTCTCCATGTCCACCAACCCGGTCAAATCGCCGGACATTTGCTTTTCGTCTTTTCAATTTCGTAAGCAACAGTAATTCTGCAAGAAGGCAGTGAGTAGAACTTCCCTGGCAGTGGTTGTATGCACGTGGCTTTGTGAAAGCATTTCGATAGGGAGAGCTGACTCTCCCCACTCTCGACCGTACCAGGACATTTTTTCTATTTATCATAGACCGAGTTCTATTTTTTAAATTGTTTGTTTTTAAATTGAGTTTCATTGTTCTTACAGTTTAATTTGTTAAAAACCGTGTTTTTAAAGAAGTGCTTTCACTGGTTATTGTTTACAATTGAATTAGTGACTCGGTTAAATGAAGTATGTGTGCGTAGTAGCCTCTATTCATTACCGACGTTTCAACGTTGTAATTACAATGAACTAATTAAAAAAAATTAGTGGCTGCACATACTTTATCGAATCAGTGTGCAGATATCGATCAAAAAAAGGTGTAGCACTGATATCGACTAACCAAAACTAACAAAACTGAATAGACTTGTAAAAATTGTTACTTGTAGGATGATGATTTGATAAACCATTTATAAAAGGTGAGATGAATTGTAAAAGGTAATAAGAGGAAGAAAAGATGAATTTTTCATGAATTTATAATCCACTTTGTGCGTTATATGAGCTTTAGTAAGGAATTACAGAGAAAATTACATTCGTAAAAACCCCAGCAGTTAGAATTAACAATAGTTTCAACGTTTCACTCGTCAATCTGGTATGTATCTCTTCATGAAACTAGTCAAATGTTAAAATTATTGATTACAGATAGTGGTTATGAAATAACTATATGCTGGTGGGCGGTCTGTGCTCCTCCACGAGGAATAACAGGCGTAAGTAAGTGAACGATAATCGAATTATGCTAAAATGTTGAATATGGAATTTTTTTGGAAATGAGCTTGTCGGTGTTGGGTAGATCATAGGTATTTCTTGAAAAAGTCCAAAGGGGACCTAAAAATACTGGAAAACATTTTATCCAATCAGCATTGATTAGAAGTTTCTCAAAAATACTTAGAAAATGAAGAGTGACGTGTCACATTTCTGATTAGATGATTACTTATCCTGCTACTATGTTTAACATGGTTCTGGAACCTTCCGAGAGCTCAAGGCCATATGTAATACTATAAATACACTTGATTTTCTATACATAAATTAACCTTTTTCACACTTAGCAACTTTTCTGTCGTGTTCACTCATTGTCAAATCAATTAAGACGAAGCTGTCAAATTATTTGGACATCGTATCTTTTGGTTACATCCCTTATTTTTCAAGATGTTCAACAGATTGTTCACTTTTAATTGTACATATACTATTTTTTTATTATAATAAAACTAATTGTTTAAGATAACTTAGCTTCCTCCAATCGATCAATTAAAGACAAAAATTGATCAAGAAGATCGTTTGGAGTAAATAATTTTTACTAGTCTGTCAATAGTTTCCCCCTGTTAAATATGTCAATCCGTATAATCATGTATATACATAGATATTATCATTCATGTTGTCAATTATATATACAAATTCTATTATAGAAATATAGGTTATTCACAATTTTTTCAAGAAATTCAATCCGCTATAAAATATGAACAACCTAATGCAAGTTTTCATGATATATGTCAATTAGTTGATGAACGCTGGAATCAATTATCAAAAATCGAGAAAAAAGTAAGTCATATAGATTGTTAGTAACTTGTTTGTTGTCATCCGTTTTTTTATTGTGTGTGTGTGTGTGACTTAAACAAAGAAACATGCTATTCTGATTTTACTGTAATGCATTCAAAGTTTATGTTATAACTTGTGCCCTGTTAATGTTATAAAGTCAATTAAAGAATAGTGAATTATTGAGCGCGCTTAACCATTAGATTTCAATTATTTCAACTATTGAAATTACTAAAATTTTCACAAAACCTCTTCTGATAATAATAATCTGCTCACTAGTGACTGACTTCAAGAGGTATTTCCTGCAGTTCTAGTGAGAAATCGTGACCAGTGGAGTTCAACTGGGTCTGTTGTGAGATATCAACTCACTGAATATATTGGTATACGGTGGCACAATTTCGTAGATTAATTGAAGTTAGGCATTAACACCGTTCGATGCCGGCCAGCTCAGTGGTCTGGAGGTTAAGCGTTCGTGTGCAAGACTGACATGTCCTGAGTTCGAATCTCGCGAGGGGCGGGGTCGTGGATGCTCACTGCTAAGGAGTCCCATACTAGGACGAAACGGCCGTCTAGTGCTTTAAGGTTTTCCATGGTAATCTAGCTTCAATTGATTCAGGACTTCAACTATTGCAATAAAAATATAGTCCAATGGGTTTTCAAATCTCATAACGTGAAAGGAACGTTCACAAATTTATAATTTATTCAGTAAGTGATATGATTGCGTAAAAATGTCAGTAATTTAATGTCAGCATGAACAAAAATAATAATTTCACATTACGTGATAATGTGACATTAATGTATTAATGAGAATATGATAATTCATTGAATCATAATGAAACAATGTGAAGAGTTGACATGCGGATAAAGTATCGATAAGATAATACGATTTGAACATAGTCTATGACATTAAATACTCGAACTCATATGTCTAATTTTATGTAATCCTTTTTAAGACGAAACAATCATCCAGTACTTATAGGTTTTCAATTGACTAATGATCTCAACTATTGTATTTGTTCAATAATTTCAGGAGTACAAGAAACATTCTGTAGTATCAATGGAATCACAAAAAATGACCTCTTTATCAAAATGTAGATCAAAACTACTCAGTTTAGTAAGTCATCTATGTTTAATACACATATATATGTATATGTTACATATTACCTATTCCAGTAATATCCTGCCCACTTATTTTCCAACTATGCAAATATTTCGGTAAAATTTGCCGTTTTAGATTTGTTTGAACTAAATAATTATGAATGCTAACCGTATATATACACATTTTTTTGAAAAACAAAAGCTTAGAAACTATCGCGATGCTAAACACTCGAAAATTCGATGGTTGTAGGTCCGATGATGATGAGTACCTTTCACAACTCTGTGCGGATCACAATCTTTATCGATTCATGACTAACCTATGTCAAAGTTTTTACTGATGGGTTACCTGGCGTCCATCTTCTGCATCTCAGACCCTGACCTAGATTTATCACAATGCAATCAGCTATTACAAGTGTGGGTGTGTACAAAACTACCACTTTTTGCAGTGTACCTGTTTGATTCTGATCATCCTATATCTTGCATTTTAGTGCCTATCAAACTTATCGTTTTTGACGAATTTGTATGAGCGAATGGGCTCCACAATCATTTGGAACCAAATGTCGAATCGACTTAAGTTTAGAGTTAGTTATCAGTCCACCGAAAAGTATAGACGACCATCGGATAGGTTTGCATGATACCAAAAAAATGATGAATGAAATCTCTTCAGGCTCCGCGAAACCTCTTTCTTTTAGGCATCGGGTGTCTTACAGGTTCTCTACAGCTCCTTTAGGGACCCCATTCTTTGGTGACTCGCGATTCGGTGATACTCTTATTTTAGAAAACTTCACAAAGCTTGCTTAAGGACAGTCTTGAGGTGACTGAGTGCTAACGAATTACACGGAATAGTTGCATCTGGTAACTGCCGGAAGCTGTTTCAACCTATCGGAGATACTAAAAGTAAGAAGTCTTTTGTCAATGAGATAATCTGTACAGTTGATGTCACGCCAGTTGGTAACCTCCATATGATCTTGAAACTAAAGCGAGGACTCCATCATTACTCCAGTCAATCTAATTCCATTATCCTGTGCTACTTGTCCGGTTATTTTCAATCTGCTTGTCAAAGCAAAGGTTCTTAAGGAATTCCAAGTTATGAAGCGTCACAAGTTGTTAAACCTAAAAAACCTGCTCCTTGGCCTCTTTAATAACGTGGAGAAATTCTAATCACGGAACGGAGAATGTTCTGTCATCGTGAATTGAAATGATCGTTTATTCCACTTTTTGAATGGATCTACTTAAGTAGTGTGATTATTATCGGGGTAAAAGTTTTCTGTCCAAACTATTGTCTTTTGTCATACTCCTCAGATTGTAAAAAATCCTTGGCTGGCTCGTGAGAAGCAGACCAAGTATCGATAACAATTCACTCAGTATCACCATCTTGAAATACTAACTTCAGTAACCTGATCATGTTTTATGAATTTAATCCCAGAGATAGCCACCTAAGGCATTATTTACAGAGGATGGAATGAAAAAATGAAGAGGTAGTTAGTTAATTCCTTGGTTCTGCGATATGAATGGTAACTTTATAAGACTGACATCTGTGAGTGTATCGCGAGCCACTGTTTGAGGTCCTAGAAATGGTTCAACTCAGTAGCTTCAGCCGTTGTCAAGCATGGTTCAGAACAGGAAGATATAATGGTCCTGCTGTAGCTTTCCATCAGATTCATCATGAAATTTTAATGGATGTCCTTAACCTAATGAAGTATTTCTTGGTTGTATTTCTGCCTGAAATGTATCTTTGAACATACATACTTTTCCATTAATGTTTTGATTATACTATCCTTTTCTTTTTTTATGTCTTCATAACATTATCCCTTCATTTATGTGACACGTTTTTACTCTTGATCTATTTTATGTCTTGAATAAAATGAAACTGAAGAATGCAAGTGATTAACACTGGAATACATCCATTCAGTCTTTAGTAGATGAACAGATTGGTTCTAGCAAGTGAAATGTTAAAATCTTCAACGATTGAAGATAAGATGCGCCAAATACCCATTGTTGAAAAGCCATTTGTAAAATACACTTGATTAGCAACAATTAGAACGTTTATTTATTTGAACATATAAATATAGGTACAAGGAGGCACCGAAGTCACTAGGTTTGTGTGTGGCTGTGATACTGCCCGGGTGCACACCGAAGCAGATAGTTTCCCTAGGGGGCCACACCCGGAGTCTTTGACCTAAAGATCTGATCCACAAGGCAGTGGAGCAACGTCAAGAGATGCAGTCCCATAGTAGCCAGTGACAAACGACTGGTTCATGCACCATTTGTTCCTTCAGGATACTGTAACCCATGTACACCATTGGTTTGGAATCGGGGTTTTTCAACTTCCCTAGGTGGACTCTTCATGTCCACCAACCCGGTCAAATCGCCGGACATTTGCTTTTCGTCTTTTCAATTTCGTAAGCAACAGTAATTCTGCAAGAAGGCAGTGAGTAGAACTTCCTTCGGAGTGGTTGTAATCGCTGGCTTACTCTCTCCACGTTCGGCCGTCCTAGGGCACTTGGGTGAAATGTATTTTAATATAGCATTATTTATGCGGAGAGAATTTCTTGCTATAACAAAGATCATGCTAATGAATAATCAAACAAGCCTGATTGTTAGTATAGGTCTGTGGAGATTGTTGAGTTTTAATTGAGATCAATGTTAGTAGACCATTATTGGAAACCTAGAAACACTGGACGGGCGCGTTGTTCTAGTATATGACTCGTGAGCAGTGCGCATCCACAATCCCACACATGGGACTCAAAACGAGCATTTGGATAATAACTAATATTAACATATCTTGCGACCCTTTGGCATACGCAAAGATATTCAATTAAAATACTAGTCAAATGGTTAGTCTTCTAAATTTGGAATTAACCTTAGGGTTTAGTTAGTGTCATAGTGGTTTTTTTTTGAAAATAGTTTACTAATCTTCTTTCTCACTGTTTGCTTATTCTATATATGGAAAACACGTTCTAGCACAAATGAAGATATTATGGCTTGGAAAGTTACTCAAAAATTCACAGGTTTATAGAATTAACGATTAATATTATCAGTTTCAATCAAGTTATATTGATCTCTCTTTCTCTCTCTCACTTTGTCTCTACGACATGGTTTTACTAACCATGACTTAAAACACTCCAGGTAGTAACATTGTGTTTCGTGTGAAATTTCTTACTTTCAGTTTAAAAGTAGATTTCCTTCTTTTTATTATTTTGAAAAAAACTTTTTTACATTTAGTTAAGTGAAGACAATAAACAATGCTGTAATCCCACGTGTAAAAATCCAGTTTCCTATGATCCTCGTTGGAATGGTCAGTATTGTTCAACCAAATGTGTTGGAGAACATTGTCAATTAACCTTTATTGATTGGTGTAATAATAAACGATTTGATGGGAAGGTAAATGTATTATCTAAACTGCCAGTTGTTGTACCCTTACTAAACCATTTTTTTTCTAAATAAATATTTATAATAATGTTAATTTGTGTGATACATTTTTGATTAGTATCAAAAGAGGTTTTGTGGAGATTGTAGTTATTTCAATGGTCGAGATCATGAGTCAATTGAAGTTAGACCACCATGAAAAACCTGGAAGCACTGGACGATTGTTTCGTCCCAGTGTGGGGCTCCTCAACAGTGCAAATCCACGATCCCGCCTCTCGCGAGATTCGAACCCAGAACTTATCAGTCTCTCACGCGAATACTTAACCTCTAGATCACTGAGCTGACTTGAATCCAATGGTGTTAATGTCTAATTTCAAGTGATCCACGAAATTGAGCGACACATCCACCCATCAATGAGTTACTATCTCTCAACTGACGTGATTGAACTCTACAGGTCACTGTTTCTCACTAGAACTTGAAGATATACATCTTGAAGCCAGTCACTAGTGAGCAGATGTTGATTATTATCAGAAGGGGTTTTTGTAGATATTATAGTAATTTCATTCGTTGAGGTCATTCAAAGTCTTATCATTGTGATCTCAAAAGAAAGTGTGTACATTTGATTTATCTAAATATTTTCTAATATCACAAACACATTCATAAGTAGTATTTTATTTAGATTGAATGAATTGTTTTTCAACTTATAAGATCTATCATTCATTTAATTGGTTTTCAATTCTATTCAGGCATTTGTTTTGTCTACCTATATAGTAATAATAATAATAATAATAATAATAATAATAATAATAATAAATATTTCTTTATCAGAATGGGTGTTTTGTGGAGATTTTTAGAAAATTTCACTTACTGAAGAGTCCCATACTAGTGTAATGAACAAGAACACGGGTGGGGACAAACGGATGTATTTAGCACAACAATTACAGTCTATCTCAACAAAATCTGAATACCATATAGTCAATCGTCAATTTGCAAAATATTCATGCATCAAACCAAACTGGACTGTTTCTGTTGCAAACACCAATCCATTGTCTCCCATTCCATTGTTCATGCATTTTTTTACAAATTCCAATGTGTTCTCACTCTACCTTTCTTGATCTTCGACATCTTCCGCTGCCAGACATTGAGTTCCTTTACCGCACGTTATATACGACTTATATCAATATAAGTAGCTCACACCACACTAGGACGAAAGGGCCGTCAAGTGCTTCCAGGTTTTCCATGATAGTCTAGCTTCAATTGACTTATGATTTCAACAAGTGAAATATTTCTTTATTATATTATTTGTTAATTTAGAAATATTCATTACATAATCTATCCATTGTATATTGCTAATATCATTTACATTTAAACTGCATATTTTGTATACATTTTTAGATTTTAAATGATACTTTATATACAGTTCAAAGGATTCCAGTTATGTCTCCTATTGAAACAAATATGATCAGTATAAAATCTTCTACACATAAGAATGATAATACTGTTATCAATACTTCCATCAACATTACTACTATTACTACTGCTACTACTACTACTACTAGTAGTAGTAGTAGTAGTACTGATAGTAATAATAATAGAGATATTATGATTGATTCATCCGATTGTGTTTCAGTTAGCTTAAAAAGAAAACCTTTATTTGAATCATTAAGATCTGAACAATTTAATACTCAAACAGTTTTAATCAGATCATCAAATACTTCAAGTTCATCTTCTACAGGACCAACATCAAATTTAACTTTATCTTTATAATTAATAGTATAATAATAAATCAATAAACCTTTAAACTTGTTCTTCTCTCCCCCCCTTTGCCTCCTTCTTTCGCTCTCTCTCCCTCCCTCTCTCTCGTAAACTTACTTATTTTGTAAATTTATTCTTTTCTTTTTTTTAAAAAAATACTTTGAATTAAGAAATTCTTCTTATATTGTATAGTTTGTATTGGGAACCCCTCCCCCCCTCCAAAAAAACACACTAAACCATTGATGCATTTCAATATTGAAAGTTTATTTTCTGTTTTGTAAAGTAGTATAATGTTTTATCAAAATTTCTTTGTTTTGTTTTTGTTTTTGTTCGGTTGTTTATGTTTATGTTCTGGGTTTTGTTTTTGTGTATATTATCTGGTAAGAAGATTTCAGTTGCTATGGTGTTAAAAAAATTTTTTTTAAATTTAATTTTTCTGTAAATTTTTAATGATATCAATAAT